TGTCGTTTCAACGCTAAAACCTCCGCCGGTTGACACTGGGGCCACTAGCGGCCTGGCCGCGAAGTGCCACATTGGCTGGCACTCTTTAGTAAACTAATATAAGAACTTGGCAAACAGCACAACAAAAATTAGCAAGAAAAACGCGTGTATTTGCTAAGTTTTTTGTCTTCGAAGAAAGCGGCGGCAATCCTGATCATTTTTATTTGCAAATGTTTTATATTTACTTTCATATCATAATACAATAAAGGAATTTAGTAATTTATTGCGAACTGTAGTGAAGAATTAATAACGTCAATTATAAATATAACATATAAATAATTATATATAAATGATATTTATTATAATAATATTATGATTATTATTATTGTCGATATTTTTATTATTAATTTTAGTTTATTACATTAAAAATTACATCATTATAATAAATTTTGTTTAGGTTGTTTTATAGAAAATATTTCCAGTGTGAGTATTGTCTCGCCCTCTATGACATCCTCGCACGGTCTCGCCCTCTATGACATCCTCGCACGGTCTCGCCCTCTATGACATCCTCGCACGGTCTCGCCCTCTATGACATCCTCGCACGGTCTCGCCCTCTATGACATCCTCGCACGGTCTCGCCCTCTATGACATCCTCGCATATATAAAAATAATCATCAGAGATTTGAAAGGACAAGAAAAAAATAATAGTTAACAAAATTATTAAATAAATCTGTAGCAACAATGGATCCCATGTTTATCGTCTGAGTATATTAATAGAATATATTGTAATCGCTAAGTTACGTATATTTAACTAAGATTGATTGTTTGGAAATATCAAAATTGTCTAATTTTCGTGTCACTTTTAATAAATGCTTTTTGGCTATGGTTTAAAATTAATGGATTTGTTAAAGAATGACTTTTTTTTTTTTTAGAGAAATCAATATCACATAGATAGCACACTTATTGACTCAGAAAGTAGTATAGAGGTTTGATAACAGAAACTAAATGTCACGCAGCTTTCTATACTAAAAATCTATATTTTTATAGATACGAAAGTAGAAGCAAAAATTATATATATATATATATATATATATATATATATATATATATATATATATATATATATATATATATATATATATATATATATATAAACAATATTAAAAAGAGTGAATAAAAACTGGAATATTTAATATAAATATTACTAACAAAAGAACAGCGATTAGCAAACGTAAATTATTTAATTTTTGTGGGTAAATAAACTGAATTAGCTTAGATAATTATTTTCTAATGTTGAATAATTTTGCAGACGCAATAAATATTTCCTAGTAGTCTAAATTATAACAAAATAACAGACTACTTTCACACTTTTCAACACTGTGGATTGTATTCAGCGGCCGCGTACAGCCACATGGTCCTTACGGTCGAGCGGGAGGCGCTCGGGATTTGCAATGCAAGGAACAGGGGTTCGATTATCGGGGGGACACGAAGCAAATGGGCATTGTTTGCGTCACCTCTTTTCTTGTCTCTATTCACCTAGCATGAAGTATGTACCTCGCAGTTAGCTGCTGCGGGCTCACAGGCTCACCATAGCCCGTGCTTCTTGCCCCGCTCCTGTGCCAGGTAAGTTACGGGCTCACCATAGCCCGTGCTACTTGGAACTTGTTCCGAGTAGCTGAATCTATAAACAACAACAACATGCTGCGGGCTACATTCTGGGGATTTCTGTGTGAGTGTATTCACCTAGTTGTGCTTGCGAGGGTTGAGCTCTGCTCTTTCGACCCATCTCTCAACTGTCAATCAATCAACTGTTACTAACTACTACTAACTAATTTTTCACACACACACACACACACACACACACACACACACACACACACACACACACACACACACACACACACACACACACACACACACACACAGCAAGCTTGCGTGACTAACGCGACTATTACAACTGTGTTAATCTCCAAACTCATATTCGTGGGAGCTGACGCAGAAATGCGTACACGGCAAGATACGCCTCGCTTGGCGTAGTTACATGTTCACCTGAGTATAGCGTGTGGTGTCTAATATGTCGGAGTATGTTTTAATTAGGTATAACAAAGGTTATATTATATGCGAAGCCTGAGTATCCTCTGCGTGCACCAGGATTTGATGAAAAACTGCGTCCATATTACACCACGAGTGTTGCCGGGGATTGCTTGGTCATGGAACTCTGTGAGCTCCATGTTTTATTGTTTTAGATTCGGCTACTCGGAACAAAAGTTCCAAAGTAGCACAGGCTATGGCGAGCCCGTAGTGGACTTACTTAGCACCGGAGCGGTGCTGTACCGTGTGGGCTCCAGGACTAACTAATCCTTATAGACAATCGCAGGCGAAGTGGTTATGGTACTGTTTACGCCAGTGTGGTGAGCCTTGGTAATACAGGTTCGAATAGTGGTTGGGTTAGGGAGCTCTTAAGTGATTTATGCCTTTGGGATTCTTCAGGCTTTGTTTTAATCTTGTAACTATAAATACCTATATGAACAAGAAGTAATGTGTCTGTCTGTCCAAGATTGGAGTTAGGCTCACCAAACTTTGCAGTCGGCATGGTCTGGGGTACGGGATGGACATAGGCTGTCCTGTATGCCAGAAGTGTGAAATATTTGGTATGATTTCCCTAGAGTTTTTAGTTATCGCAATAAAATATTTTGAGTCTCAAATAGTTGTTTCAGTGCTTTTTACTGATAAATTTTCTGAGAGAAGAGAGGGGGAAACAGGGGGAATGGAGAGGAAGGGGGGGGGAGGGGCAAGTGGCATGGGGATGAGTTGAAAAAGGCAGAAACAGGGAGCAAGTGACTCGAGTGAATATATATATATATATATATATATATATATGTATATATATATATATATATATATATATATATATATATATATATATATATATATATATATATATACACCAAGGTCATAAATTTTAATGTGAATCCCCCCCCCCCAAAAAAAAAGAGCTACCGTCTAGAATTAATAAAAATGGTTGGACCTTTGAACGGGATGAAGGTACGTTGCCAGAAAGGGTAGAGAGGGTCAGCAACCACACTAGTGGGTCTAGTGACATCAATAATGCCCCCTGGCGTTGATGACTGATGTCTGGTTATAGGGGCTGGAGTAGTCCCCAGTAGCTCTCGGAAGTAGAACTTTCGGGGGGAGGGGGGGGGGATGGGCACCATGTTCGCTGGGCGACCCATCCTCTGAATTGACAGTACGTTTTAATACTAAGTGTAATAAGTACATTTCCTGACTGTCTTACATAGTACATAATTTCACTTATGGGGCTGTTACATTTACCTCCCGATTTATTCTCCTCATTCTCTGTTAAGACACTCAGAATTTTAGGACGAAGTTTTAAAGTTCAGTTCGCTATACACAAGTTTTAAATATCAGGAATTTTTTTTTTCAGTTTTATTAAACAATAGTTATTTTATACCAAATTCGAACATTTTCTGAGTTACTTTACAATTTATTGAAATATTTCAGTTTTGTTTAATTTGTTTTATAAAACTGTAATATCAATATAGCTATAGGTTAAGTAGTAATTATAATTAAGAAGCAATAAAATGATTATCTTCAAAAACTAAGAAGGTTAGGTTAGGTCGTGGTTTTCTATTCAGCTTTTCACGTAAACTCAAATATTCTCAATATATTTGACAGTACGGTTTAATACTAAGTGAAAATAAGTACAATTCATGACGGTGATACATAGTACATAATTGCACTTATGGGGCTGTTACATTTACCTCCCCATTTTTGGAGGACGGGCTGTCGCTGGGAGGGAGGGGGCATGCGGGCAGGTGAAGCGGCCTTGGTAAGGGAAGAGATTTCGGGGGCTTGCCACAGGAGCAAGTTGCAAGTAGCACGGGCTATGGTGAGCCCGTAGTGGACTTACCTGGTACAGGAGCGGGGCTGTAACTGTGGTGGTAATGGGTCCCATTACCAATGATAAAGGTTGGTTGTCAGATCATCATTTAAACAGAATATATCCGTCCAACTGCGGTTTGCATAACTGATCGTACGTATGCATTTAGATAGCCAGTCCACAGGTCTGTAGATGCAGGAAATGTCGTTTCAGTCCGTCCTGGACCACTATTGACTTGATAATGGTCCAGAATGGACCGAAACGTCGTCACTTGGTGTCTAATTCTCAACCAGGTTATTGCTACTGAATATGCATATGACTTTATATATAGTGAAGAAATCTAGAGACTAGGCCAGCCACCTTTCACTGATGTTGTGGGGTAGAGGGGTTACTAATCGGCCTCAGTCACTCTTAATCTGACCAATAGTACCGACCCCGACCATTCTATGTCCGTCCCGTACACAAGACCCTTCCACCTGCAAAGTTTGGTCAGGCCAACCCAAAGCTGACCTCCAATCAGGGGACAGACATTTTATTTTATAGAAATTTATAACTATAAGAGTGAAAGAAAGCTTGAATGATTCACAAGCCATAAATCACGAAGAACTCTATGACCCCACCAGGGTTCGAACCTGTATTACCAGTGCTCACACTCTGACGTACACAGTACCATAACCACTTCATCAGCAATTGAGTTTAAGAATAAGTTTAGTGGGCATCATAACTAAACAAACCCTGGCAACACTCGTGGTGTAATTTGGGAACAGTTTTTCATCAAATCCTGATGCATCCCCGGGCCACGCTGAGCCTGACACACACACCCTACGGGAGCCTGATAGCTGAGTGGACATCGCTGTGGACTTATAATCCTTGGGTCAAGATTCGATCCCCGGTGGAACCATCGTAGCCTCGAACAAGGGCCACAAGTATACATTATAATGTTTCAGAAGTTTGTGAAGCTCAGCGCAGAATGCTTCCTGAGGGATGAGTTGGTCAGATAATGTTAGTATTTTCGCCCCTTCCTCACGTAAACACACACACACACACACACACACACACACACACACACACACACACACACACACACACACACACACACACACACAATACATTAGCTCACCTTTACCTAGAGGCCCCAAGGCGGCTCTGGACGCGGGAAGATCCTCAGGTGGTTGATAGAGAATGCGCTGCACCTTATAGAGACACTATGTTAATTTGGGAGATCGTTGTGAGAGTCGAATAACGAGATGTTTACTTCAGTGGCTTTAGTGACCAGCCCTGAGACCTATGCTCTACCGAGGGGCACTACCAGTGTATCTGGCTGAGATGGCACAGTGTGTTTCACCTTAGAACTATTCGAAGATATCTGCTGGTGTAACAGCAGCTAGATGTCTGCAAGTACGACTAAGACACGCGTGTTTCGCTACAAGGAGAGAGGGCGCGTGTGCTGCTACAACAAAGAAACGCGCGACTGTTGCTACTACCCCGCGAACCTTGGCTACTCAGGCAGCGGCGACGGCTACTAGAGTACCGCGCCACGTAAGCTACAAATATCACGCCAAACATTCATGGCACAGGAAGTCGGGGAACGTGTCGCCGTAGAGGCGGTCGCGTGAACCACCTTCTTCGCTGCCTTCGAGGTATATCTTGCGAGGACGTGAAGAGTGTCCTCAGATTCCTACAGCTACGGTGAGGTTATTGACTGAGATCCTATGGTGGTACAGAACGAGGCTCTCGTCTCGTCGCGTTGAGGTAGATAGGAGTCCGAAGGTGACCCTGGACACTGTCACCAGGCACTACACATTAGTTCGTGCACCTGTCCTGGCACTCTCCGGCACTGTCTCGAGAAGTACCTCCCAGGTGGCACTACCGTCACCGACCGCTCCTACATGACGTTGGCCCTGCATCTAGCTATGCCCGGAGGCTCACTGAATGCTGCAGCCTGGGACCCCTGCTGCTCATGGCACCCAGTTGCCAACTTTCTCGCAGTGCCAGGGTTGTTTCCTCGTGGCACCCGGCGGCTACCGACCGACCTACGGTAATACCCCTCACCAGAGTGGTCAGCAATGCCGAATACACTGTTTCAAGACTCCTGTCAACCTGTCCACCCATTCCTGTCTCCCCTTCCCCATTCCGGCTATCTCTCTCCCCCCATACCTGTTTCCTGGTACCTTCCTCTCCCTATACCTGTCTGCGGTCTTCATACCTGTGTTTTTACACACCTGCTGAGGCCTATACACACTTGATGAGATTCAAGTACATCTGATGAGACCTATATACATTTGTTGCAGTTGATGCATATCTGCAGACACACATACACACCTGCAGACGTCCATACACACACACCTGTTGAGGTGCAGGCACACCTGCAGAGTGTTGGGGCCAGATATAAAGTGACGACCAAAACAACATCTCGGTGGCCACTGGTTTTTCCATCCTTTTATTTTTTATAGCGAAAGTGAATTGATACGGAATGTGCGCTGATTCACAGTTTGGCTCAACACACACACACACACACACACACACACACACACACACACACACACACACACACACACACACACACACACACACACACACACACACTGTACACCCGTCTACTTACATTTCACAAACCATGTGGATTCTCTTTGGCCGGAATGCAAAACCTATTCGAACCCAGGCTTCGAACCCTTGCTGCTTCGATACGTCGGGCGGAAAGACTTCTCTAATTATATCAAGAGATGCAGGAGTCCGCCTGCGTCATCAAACAGCCCCGGGCCCGTTCTACCCGACGAGGCACAAACACATTCGCAGTTTTAGAAGCTGTTTTTTATCGCCTCGCTGCCAGAAGAAGCTCCTAAAAGTGGAAGATAATTTCTGAAGAATTAGAGACTGTTGCGTTCTTTTGCCAGTGAACATTTCAGAGATTTAAAACTCGGCTAGTTATCACTGTTTTGGACGAGGCCAGATGTGTGTGATGGTGGTGGTGTTTGGCGGTGATGGTGGTGGTGTTTGGCGGTGATGGTGGTGGTGTTTGGCGGTGATGGTGGTGGTTGCTGGTGGTTGATAGAGATAGCTGGTAATGGTAGGGGTTCGTGGTGTTGTTGGGTGGTGGTCGTTGGTGGTGGTTGTGGTGGTGGTGGTGGTGGTGGTTGTGGTGGTGGTTGTGATGGTTGCTGGTGGTTGATAGAGTTAGCTGGTAATGGTAGGGGTTGGCGGTGTTGTGGGGTGGTGGTTGTTGTGGGGTGGTGGTTGTTGTTGTGGTGGTGGTGGTGGTGGGTATGTTTGTGGTGGTTGTGGTGATGGTCATTGTGGTGGTGGTGGTTGTGGTGGTTGTGGTGATGGTCATTGTGATGGTAGTGGTTGTGGTGGTGGTGGTGATGGTTGTGGTGGTAGTGGTTGGTGGTACATAATACTACCCTATCATTACGGGTAAGAGATGACTCGCAACTAACCTTGTTCTACTTGTCGAGTTGCAATTTAACAATTCTGACGTGCGATTTTCTCATCGTATCTGCCCTTAAAACTGTGGATGAAGGTGGCTTCCAGAACTTCTGCTTTCAGTGCATTCCATTCGGCGACCACCTGTACAGGATACCAGTATTTCCTTACATTTTCTCTACTTATTTGTGTTTCCAGCTTCCACTTATACCCTCTTGACCTACTTTCTGTTAGTGTAAAGATGCTGTCATTATCCACCTTATTTTCTCATCTGAGGATTTTGTATACTGTGATGATGTCCCACCTCTGCCTCACATATTTCCTCCAGCGTCGTGACATTGAGTTCCCTTTACCTGTCCTCATAGCTTATGCCTCTTAGTACAGGCACCAGTCATGATGCAGAACTCTGTACGTTGTCTAGATTAGTGTTGTGTAGATAATCCACAAGTCCCTCAATACGTCCTGGGCCACACTCACAGGCTGGGGTCAGGAAGTGAGGCGTTCCTCACACCAGTCAGTAGGCGTGTTGATGTGTTTTGGTTCGTGAGACACAGCTGGTAAATGCCGCACCACATGCATCAACTTATTAAAGTGAATGCCGTGTGTGTGTGTGTGTGTGTGTGTGTGTGTGTGTGTGTGTGTGTGTGTGTGTGTGTGTGTGTGTGTGTGTGTGTGCTTACCTAGTTGTGCTTGCGGGGGCTGAGCTCTGGCTCTTTAGACCTGCCTCTCTAACGTCAATCAACTGGTGTACAGATTCCTGAGCCTACTGGGCTCTATCATATCTACATTTGAAACTGTGTATGGAGTCAGCCTCCACCTCATCGTGTATGTATGTGTGTGTGTAACTAAATATACGTACATGAGAGTGTTTGGGGCAAGTGTACGGCAGAATGTTGATGGTTGATTGTACAAATGTGTACAAAGCTGACTGTTTCTGGGTGTAGGTATCCTGCTGTTATACTGGTGTGTATGGGTGTTCAAATGCGTTTAGATATGCAATATATGCGTACAAAGTCAAGGTCATCCATAGACGTACACGTATAGCTGTCCTGAGGTAGAATGAACGTGGGCTCATCAATGAATATTGATGAGCCTGTGCTCATCAATATTGTAATGAATTCTATTAAAGCCAGAAAGCGAGGAGAACAGTTCCGGGGTAAATACGGACCAACATGCCCGGGTCAGAAAGAACATCTTAAGAGTAAACACAACACCACTATTATTAACACCAGAAACACGCGTATAATATTAATTTTGCGTATGTTTCCCATATTTAAAGAAATGAACAGTCTTTAGAAACGTAAGGATCTGCTTAGAACATCACACACAATATACGTCAGATCACTCCTAGTATATGCAGCGCCAGCGTGAAGTCCCCACTCTGTGAACAACAAAAATTTAGAAAGTCTAAGAATTTGCTATGCGATTAGTTCCATAGGTATGTGAACTGGGTTATAAAGACGGATTAAGAGAACTTAACATATAACCTGACAGAGAGGGAATAGCCTGTGGGGATTTAATCACGATATATAAAATACTGAGAGAAATTGTGTGAATAGTTTTTCTCAGGTGAGGAAAGTCAGAGTGAGGGAACACAGCAAAAGGCCAGCAACACAAAACACGTTTAAGCAACACAAAAGTGCACTAACCCCCCGGACTCCACCGGCTGGTGTCAGAAATACAACATTCCCTCCCTCCCTCCCAGACTCACAAATGAGTTAATATGAGTGAAAATCACCTCATGATCGAGCAACATAAACTATCAAGAGATGCAAGAGGTACGAGGCGCCGGAGGGGGGCCCCCCTAGAACTAACCACGTCTGCTGTAGCGACCAACCCGCGCCGCGTGAACATGAAGAGCAGCGGCAGCCTGTGGCGGCTGTCAGCTATTGTCAGCTAGTCTCAGCGTCGCCATGTCACGTCACCAGGGCCTGAGGGGGGAGGGGGATAGAGGGGGGGGGGATACCGTCGACGCCAGCAGGCTTAATTGCCTCTTACGGATTTGACCGTATCGTTAAAAATATGATGTGTTAGCACAACTTGAAGCATTGTAATTTTTGGCGTTTTTTTGATGCATTAGCCTCGACAGGTTAGGTGGGTTGCTTGGGTTAGGATGTTTCTAGGTAGGCAAAACAGGTACATTTTGTACGGAATGATAAATGGAGAGATTGGGCTAGATGCTACCCACAACAGTCGACTAACTCCTCGGTACCTATTAACAAAAGCATCATAAGAAAGAGTACACAAACGTCTCGCTTTTCCCCGGAAATCGAACCCAATAAAAATGAGACCAAAGTCAACTGAACATTTCCAAGGTAATTTTGCTATCAGTAGAGAAAGATGCCGTCGCCTTGACTCTCAGACAAGAGCTTGACACTGTATCAACCCAAACTGAAAATTACAGACCAATTTCCCTCCTAGAAGTACCACGTAACATATTTGAAAGAAATAATTAATTACAGACTAGTGAAATACACAAAGGAGGAGGAAGAAAAGTATATGACCAGGCAACATGGGTTTAGAAACCGCAGACTGACCCATACAGCCACAGCCTTGATCTACAGCACAAAGTCAATGCAACGTCGAGAAAAGATCAGTGCAATATTGTGCTCAGAGATGTTACGAAAGCTTTTTATGACAAAGTTTGGCACACAGGTCCAAAATACAAGATATCTGAGCTAGGACCCCCACAGAGCTTTACTGCTACTCTCTGCAGCTTTATAGACAACAGAACCGCTAGGCTGAATATCGACAGCTACTTGGGTGACATAATCGAACTGAAAAGTGTAGTACCATGAGGGAGCTGCCTCTCTCCACCGCTATTAAACACACATACAGCCGACCTGCCCCATCATGGAGAATACATCACATACGCTGACGATGTCACCCAAATAATATGTCAACCGGGACCATCAAAGCCGCTACTAGCCAGCAAGACCAAGGCACCAATTGAATTCATAAAAAACATTGAAAATCAATGGAAAATAAGCATAAAAAAAGTTCCAGATAATACACATTGCAAAAACAAACACGGACCCCATAATCCTTGACAGCCATCCGATCCACTATGCGAATGTAGCCAGAATACTGGGACTCATGATCAATAGAACAGGGATAAAAATTTATGCAAAGGACAGACTAAAGAAAGCCAAAACAGCCTTAGGGAAACTAAGAAAATTCCAAAGCCTCAGTACGAACATACAACCACTTATATAAGGCTCTAGTCCGGCCGCATCTAGAATATCCTCCCAGTACTCTCCATCACCTTAATCGCCACCCCCCCCCCTCCACCTCTAAAAAAAAAGAGGGGTCCAGTACCACACACCTGGCATAAGGTCCAGTACCACACACCTGACACAAGGGCCAGCACCACACACCTGACACAAGGGCCAGCACCAGACAATAGTTCTAAACATATTTCCCTCACTGTCGCCAGCGCTCAAGCGGTCGCTGTGGTCTCAAACCTTCCTGAGGTGCCAGCCTCCTCCCCCCCCCCTC